TGCGCACTTTTAGCGGCGCCGCGCGGAAAGTCTGCCCCGCATTGGCGAGGTCGGGGTGGGTGGGTGGAGGGGGAGAAGGTGGGGGGGCGAGGTGGGGACCAGCAAGGCCGGGGGTGGGGTGGGGGGGTGGGTGAGTCTGCTGCTCCCACTGCTGCCTTCTCTTTTTCTCCCTCCTCTTTTTCTCCTTCTCTTCTTCTTCTCTTTCTTTCTCCTTCTCTCGCTTTTCCACCGGCGCCCGCCGCGCGAAGCTCTCTCTCTCTCTCTCTCTCTCTCTTCGTTCCGCCTTCACTTTTCCTATTGATCTGGGATGGACTGCGGGTCAGGTCCGCGCAGGATTGCTGGGGACTTTCGTGGAACTCCCCGCCTTTGATTGACAAGCCGGAGTCGCGGCCCCTTAGGCCCCGCCTCTTTCTTTTCAGACCGGCTGGCTGGCTCGGTTTACTCCTCTCCCGCCGCCCCCCCCGCCCTTTCCTTTCATGATGACGTCGCCGCTTTTTATTTGAGTGCTTTTCAAACTCTGGTTCCAGCCTCGCCAATCGGCTCGGCGGTTTGCAAAGCTTCAGCCCTGCCCCGGAATCGGAGCTTTAAAATAACAACAATCTTACGCTCCTATAATTATTAATGTTATTATTAGTCTACCACTACTAATATTAACATTAATAATATTAGCCCCTTACTGGGAATCGAACTCCGGGTGAACGGAGGGGGGAGGGAGAGAAGGCGGTGGGGGGGAGGGGGAATCGAGGAGGATGATTTATCACTAAAGTAAACCCGGGCAATTTGTTTTGTTTTGTTTGCTTGTAATAAATATCTAATTAATTCATTGACGTTTCTCTCCCACGCCTCCGCCTTCTGATTTGTCAATCCCAGCAAAATGTTAGTTAACTCTCCTGCGATTTTCGGTCGCCTCTCCGCTCCTTTGTCCTCCATCCCCCGCCCCACAAGTGACTGTCCCTTGTGTGCCAAAGATGGGGGTCGTTTTTCTAACATGGGTAGGACCGATACAATAAATAATGGGAACCCAAAATGAATGAATGAAAGAAAGAGAGAAAGAAAGAAAGAACACGGAAACAGAGAAAGAGATACAGAGAAAGAGAGAAAAAGAAAGAGGAAGGAAGGGAACATAGGGAGACAGAGAAAGAGGGGGGGAGAGAAAGAGAGGGAGAGAAAGAGAGAAAGAGAGAGAGAAATAGAGGAAGGAATAAAGGCAACACAGACAGAGAAAGAGACAGAAAAAGAAAGAAAGAAAACACACAGAGACAGAGAAACAGAGAGAAGGAAAGAAAGAGAGAGAGAAAGGGAGGAAGGAAGGAAACACACACAGAGAGAGAGAGGGAAGAGAGAAAAGAGACAGTGTTCCCCCCATTTACCGGAGTAATACGCCACATTTTTAACGTCAAAAGTGAGGAAAGACCACAAATTAATTAAAGGGAAGAGAGAGAGGGAGGGAGAGAGAGAGAGAGAGAGAGAGAGAGGGAGGGAGGGAGAGAGAGAGAGAGAGAGGGAGAGAGATCAGAAAAACTCGGTGGGTCCCTGACAAATTACCTAGGACAAACAAGAATCCACGCGCGCAGAATGCTCATCCGCCTGTCCCGACTTCTTAAAAGCTTTTGATGCTCCGTTTTTAATTGGGATATTTATAAACGGTGTTCTCCCCCCCTCCCCACTTTTAGGTGTCAAAGGGGGCCCCCCCGGGACCCTGCCCAAAAGACGAGCCTGGAAAAATGGAACAATTTCTCGGCCGAAGGGCATATTTCGAAGGGGCGACTCTCAACTCCGTTTCGCAAAAGGAGGCGAAGAATCCCCGAGCTTTTCCACGCGGGGCTGTTCCCTGCGAAGCCCCACGCGCGTTCAGTGGGGCCGTGGAGTCTCTTTTTCCCCCGGAATCTTCCTAATCGGCTTTTAAGCGCCTGGACGTAGAAAGTCAACGGCGAAACGTGGAGAAAATCTCCATAAACTGCCCCGTGGTTCTTTTCTCTTCCCCTCGGGAAGTGGCGTCCCTCGAGATTCGTTGCCTTCTTGCGGAACTGCGTGGGTTGCTTTTTTTTTAAGGGCAAAAAAGCGAGCTTCTTGAGTATTCACCGGCGCCCACAGACAGACGGCTTCTATTTCGGCTCGAATCTAATTATAACCCCCCTCCTAAAATATAGGTCAGGACGTTTAGCTGCCTTCGCGGGCGTTTCACGCAGGCGGGGGAGGCCCACGCGGGAGCACGCGAAACGCATCCCTCGGTGTCTTTCTGTCTGGGTCTTTTCTTAGCTAAGTTCGGGGACTTTGTCTTCCAGGGAATCGGATGGATTGCCCCGAATCCTTCAGCGTTCCGGAGATACAATTCCTCATCTTTTCTCTGGTTTTTTTCCCCTTTCTTTCTTCCCAGGCACTTCTAAGTTTTAGTTTTTTTCCTATCTGATTCCTTCCTTCCTTCCTTCCTTCCTTCCTTCCTTCCTTCCTTCCTTCCTT